TTCCCTTTCTCTTTATCTTTCAGCCAATATTGTTGTTGTTAGTGACTTTAGTTCTCATTACAATGAATGGAATGGCTCTAGTATCAGTGACTCTGTAGGTATCAAGGCTCACAATGGCCTTATCATCGCAAAATTGCATTTCTCAGTCTCTAATACAAATAATGAACTTTCCAACTTGCTTTCCAGACAATCTAGTCTACTTCACTTATGTCTTGTTTCTTATCCTAGTCAGTGCTCAGTTTCTCAACATTCACCCTTAGGTGTTTCTGATAAGGCTGACATGGAATCTTTTATTTTCATTCAAGGATTACAAGTTAAGCCTCACTCTTCTCCATAGTTTTCTTCTCATTGTGCTACTGCAATTTCTAATCGTAACTATTACTTTCTTATCTATCAGCAAAACAATTCACTAGAAAATAGGTGTCTGTTTACTATTGCTAGAAACAGGCCTCGGCGGGAACAAATGAGCACGAGAGCTGAGAAAAGCTCACCTAAAACGAATTTAGGGAGCTGTGCGAGCTGCTCCTCATTTAAATTAGCACTCTTTTGTAATTTTAATTATACCTTCATGAGAAAAATTATACTTTTGCGAGAGCCGTAAATTGCTCCTGTAAACTGTTTTAGGGGAGTGTGGGCGAGAGCGAGAGCTAAAGCTCTCGCTTCCCGCCGAGGCCTGCTAGAAATCATTGTAAAAAGGTTTTGCCTAATGCCAAAACCCAATAATTTCAAGTCACAAAAACTTGTATTTTATCTCAAAACTCTTGTGACTTCTGGAGAATCTTTAAGAGTATAATAAGGGCATATCTTTTATTCCACTTCTCTAGTATGGTTCAGATTTTGTCACCTCACCTAAAGAAGAAGCTGAATTATTTGCTAAAAACTTCTTATCAATATGATCTCTACATTCCACTAATCACATCCTACTTGATATAGTGGACACATAGATTGATCTATTGCTTGACATTCAAATTACTACAGCTTACTAAATTACTCCAGATACAGAAGTATCTTAAGAGATTTTCTGCTTAGATTTTTCTACAGCTTGTGGCCCATACAACATACTTGTTATAGTCTTGCAGAAGTGTTCTCTGTCATTTATACTTTCAAAACTAATTAGTTTTGAAAGTATAAAAGTATTTATCAGAGACTTGTTTTCCAGCCTGATGGAAAGCAGCATCTGTTATCCTTATTTTCCAAAATTCTTGAGAGCGATCTAACTCATCTAACTAACGCTCCATTAGTCTTCTTCCTATCATAAGCAAAGTTTTTGAGTCTTTAATTAACAAAATCACTCATCTTGAACCTAATAATTTACTTTCTGATCTTCAATATGAATTTTAATCTTCTCGTTTCACTGCTGATTTGTTAGCGGTAATAACCAATAGGTTTTATCATGCATAAGATAGATTTGGAGAAGTTAAGGCTATTGCTCTCCAAACTTCTAAAACCTTTGATAAAGTTTGGCATGCTGGTCTTCTCCATAAGCTCTGTTCTTATGGTGTATCAGGTAACATCTTTAGGACTATTGATTCCTTCCTTACCAATAGTAGAATAAAAGTTGTCGAAAATGGACAGCACTTTATTTCCTGTAAATTCAGGGGTTCTTCAAATTTCTATCCTTGGCCCCATACTTTTTTTTAATTTGCATTAATGATCTCCCAGAAATTTCCACATCTAAGGTATTTTGCATTGTTCGCTGATGATACTACCATTTATTCTTGTCTTGATAAAAAGCCAACACTCTCTGATTGTTTATAGGGGCCATTTGGGCAAGTTCATCTAATGATGCTCTTTCTCTTCTAGACAAGGTCCAAAAATGCATAAAACATAGTTGAACTCACTCTATCTGCTAAATTAGAGCTTCTTTCCGATCTTCATAAAGTTGCATCTCTTTCTCTTTTCTACAATTACAGTCATGATTGCTGCCTAAAGAAGTTATTATCTCTAGTTCTATCAACTAAAACTCATTCTCGATTGACTCGTCGTTTAGCAAAGTCTGATTCTTTTACTGTATCTGTCCCTGCATGCTCTAAAAACTTTTATTTGTCTAGTTTTTTCCCCCGCACTTTAACCCTTTGAAACTCTCTCTCCCATCTTCATGTCATTCAACTTTCACCTTTTTAAGTCTTCTGTCAACCATTTCCTTTCTCTTTAACTCTATTCTTTTTTTCTAGTAACTACCAACTTGATAGTGGTTGCTTGCAGCCTTGTTGGGAGTGAATCATAATTAAAATAAAATAAATTTAAATATATAATTAAAACATAATTAAAATAAAATATATCAAAATAAAAAAAATTAAGCTTAAAAAGGATCTCACTTCTGCTACAGTATAAGGCTCTCTGTGGCTGGTGAACTTTAATTTAGATAAAACTAAATTTTTTCAGCTTATCATTATTGTAAGATTCTAGATCTTCATATATTTATGAATGGTTCTGTACTCAATCAGTCATCTACACTTCATCTCTTAGAATAAGC